GAGTTGAGATCTTGGTATTTCTGAACACATCCGAAAGATGCTCTTAAAGTGTTCTACATGGGTCTTCTTACTTGTGCTTACCAGCTTGATTAGAGTCAGATTATTAACCTCAAGAAAACATGAAAATGCTGATGAACCAAAGAGTGATAAGGAATAGAGCCAAAAAATAAGGTGTTATGGTCAAATCTTCTGTTTAGTTTGTGGCTGTAAATGCTAGGGTTGATCAACAAAAAGTGATTAATCAAAGAATGGTAAAGTTTTAAAGTTAAAAAAAAAAAACCCTACTTGAGTTTAACTTTTGTTGACTATCATAACCTGAGGCAAATTCTGATCAACAGTCTTCCAGCCTAGTGTGAGGTAATACGATATTGAGTTAAGATTCATTTTTTACCTGATAATTTCAAAGATTTGCTTCAATTATATCTAATTGCTGTAGTCTAACTACAAATCTCCCACTGAGCTATCTCACAAATAAACCCACTGAAGACAGGTGTTACAAAACAACTTGGATAACCTTCCTTGTTTCATCTGTAGGAGTTCTTACTTTCCTTTGCCTCCTTGGGTACACCTATGCCCATCCACCATTATTGTTTCCCATAGCATGAGTATCCCGATTGCAATCATCTGTTCCTCTCAAATAAACTCTTCCCCAGAGAGCTTTTCTCTGTACTGCTTGTTTTTAGATTGGGAAAAAATCAAATAAATGAGTTGTGCATGTTCAAGCAATGGCAAGAAGTGGATTTATCCATTGAACCTGACCAGTAGGTTCCTATCATGTAGATGGATGTGGCAGATGTTCAGAATCGATACTTGCTTCACATTCTGCACATACAGCTCATTTCCCTTGCTGTTTCCTTCTCCCTGAAGTAAATGTCCTGTGCATTTTGCACTGTGCAGATTGACTTGAATACGAGGGCTCCTGGACATTTGTATTTATCTTTAAAATTTAATAGATTGGTGACATGTGTTTCTGTCTTGTGATTTGTTTTAGTTTTGTTAGCAGAGGAGGTGTTGCTAAATCCAAAAGCCCTGGGCCACTCACGAGTTTCAGAGCTGCTATGGTTTGAAAGTTTATATCCCTCCCCTCATTCCCCGAATTCACGTTGAAACCTAATCCTCAATATGACAGACTTAAGAGATGGAAATGTTGGAGAGTGATTATACCGTGACACCAGCACCTTCAGGAGTAGGATGAGTGCACACAGAGAGGGTTCATAGAGCTACTAGCTTGTTAAAAGTAATAATAATTATAATAATAATGATAAAGAGAATACAGCAAGAAGGCTGTGCAGGGATTCAGGAAAGAGGCCATCACTGGACACTGACTCCTCAGAAGACTTAGTTTTGGACTTTCTGGCTTCCAGAACTATGAGAAATAAATGTTTGTTGTTTGTAAGCTATCCAGTTTGTGGTAATTTGTTACAGTAGCCTGAATGAGCTAAGACAAGAGCCTCCAAGTCTGAGGAGGCGATGTTGTTGCTAACTTGTTCTTTCCCCAGGGGTCCCTCTCACATTCCTTCTGGCAATCATTCCACTTCTGGGAAAACCTAGGGGCTCTCAACTCCTTGAGTGGGTGGGAGCCACATGCTAGGACAGAGGGGAAGATGGGACTTTATCTAAAGTAGAGAGAGGAAAAATGCAACCAGTCAACTCAAAGAAACATCCATCTCTCAGCCGAGATAAGTACACGAAAATAATCATAACCTTTTTCTTGGTGATTCTGTGAGCATGGAAAGTAAGTAACCCGATCATCTTGTAGAATGCTTTGTTTCACAGAACTAATCCTCAAGGTTTCTCATCTAAACCTCGGGCCTTCTTAGCTAATCTAATTCCATACCTGTCACACCAAATTCACTTGCAGAGCTAAGAAATTCAACTCTGTAGTGCCCTTTTCCTCAAGAAAAATGTGACAGGGACCTTTTGTGAATTGTCTTTGTTTCATTAAAATCTGCCTTTTTAATTTAACTTTGTGTGTGTGACTAGAGATGTTTTTAAAATATTAAATGTTCAGTTTAGGATCAATTTTTCAAATGTGAAGTCAACATAAACTTCATACCACTTGGTATCTTGTTAATGTTGCCTTGATACCAAAGATTTAAAAGAACAATATGTTCATCTGAGATAAATATATTTTTAAAGTAAAAGGGCATGGATGTATATGTCTTGGGAGCAGAATTCTCGTGTGGGTCACAGTCCCTAATTTCAAAATTTCAGAGCTGCTCCTGATCTAACAATCATTAGCTGGTGTCCTGTTAGCGACTCAGGAGACTGTGTTATATAATAGGCTGTCCCTGACTACGGAAATGATTAATTTGAGAGTGGAGGTGATATTTTTTTCTTAAAATATTACATTTATTAAATTAAAATAAAATGACTTTTTAGCATCTCAAAGTTTGGTATCTCATAGCCCAGCCAAATCTGTGAGAATTTATTTCCTAAGGAGAGAAAGGCAGTGGACTGTTAGTAAGGCAATGGAAGGAAAGCACAGCTTTTGATCATCTGCAAACTGTCCAGCACCATGGGACATAGAAAGGAGCTTCAGCATTTTACAGAAGAGAGGCTCATGGAGCTAGGGGTCCTGCCAGCTCCAACTCCAGTGGAGTTCCACCTATGCCACAAATTCATATTTTTGTGTTTCGTTCATCTATAGGTGACAAAAGTCATGACGAGTAAGACTTAGGTTCAAGTCTGTTTCCATCACCTTCAGCTGTGCCCTACCTCAGCTCTCCATGACCTGTCAGTGCAGTGTTTGGCACAAATCAGTGGAGGGGCAGAGAAGAAATAGAAGCATTGAAGTGGAAAACCATGGTGTTTCCATTTCCTGCTATAGAACAGATGCTAGAAAGAACTCTTCCAGGATCAATGTCCGCTATTCCTTTTATCTAAAGGGTGGCCAAGTAATCAGTGATATTTAAATTCTGGAAGTCACAATCTGGGACCACACTATAGCCTAGCAAAGAATAATCATGCTCTTTCCCATCTCATCCGCTCATGCTTGTGGAGTAACTAGGCTAACTCCCATGACACACCGGCTGATCAATTCAAACAACTAGTTGATACGGCTTATAAAAATAGCCATGCTGGGCTTGTTGGGAAAGGATACATTTCAAGGAAGATGAGTAGTGGTCTGAGTCAGCTTCTTGTGAAACCCAAGCAGGCAGGCAAGTGGTAATAAGGAAAGAGAATTGATGGTGACCAGAATGTCCCCATAAAGCATGTCACCCCACTGAGGAAAGGAGGTCAGGAACAAACAAGTAAGCAGAAAAATGTGCTAATGAATGTTAGAAGAAAACAATTCCTGTGGATATTATATTATTTTTTAATTTTTAAAATTTTTATATATATTTTTAAAAGAATATATTAACTTACATTTGTTGAAACATAAATATGTTGAAAATTAACCTAATGGCTTTTAAACATGAGAAGTAACATGACAATAACAATGGTATATGTTGTTCTCAAGCATTCTTACTATTACTAGAATTAGATTTTATTAAATGATAAACCCCACTGTCTTTGGGAGAGTATTCAGTTGAATTGGTGTATAAATTTGATTCTAAAGCTAGGGGGAAAAATTTTTTTTTTTCATATTTCTGTCAGCCAATAGATTTTAATCACAACTCATGTGGGACAAATGGTGAATCTTTCAATTATTTAATACTCATTTGGCAAGAGCAGAGTCTTGAACCTTTAAAAAATAAAAAATAATCACTTTTGTTGAATACTGCTGGTTACAATTTTTGCACAACGCTAATCATACAATACCTGCTGCTGCTGTGGCATGCTCCCTGGGTACTTTCCTTAGTAGGAGCCAGCTCAACAAGTGGGAGAACAAAAAGTAAACGTGGACCAGAAAACTGGCTAGCATGAAGGCGGCATGCTCATCACCAAAGTGGCTGGAAAAAGTGCTGCATGTTTCTGCCAAAGGCCCCTTGGATTCACTGACTAGCTTCATTCAGTGACTGGTCAAGGGGTGAGGCTACTGCTCTTTATAGCACTTTTAATATCTGTAGTACTGAATAGTTGTGGTAGTAATGGTTGTGGAGGAAGCGTAGAGAAGATTTCACCTCTATGAGAGTGATAAGAGGAGAGGGAACTTGTCACAGCTTCTTTGAGCCCTCCTTGCAGAGCACCGTCCTCCAGCCAGGGCGCTTCCAAAGAGTGCAGCAGGATTCACAGAGCAAGGGCCCGGGGCCTCAGCATCAACCTTCGAGGCTGTGCAGAGAAGGAAACCAACAAGCTAGTCAGAAATGCCTCTCCAGGGGGACACAGGCCAGCAAGGGGAAGGCCTGAGCTTAAACCCAAGCTTTCTGCAAGCCCCACATGCTGTCCATACATCACCGAGCATATCCCGATTGGATAGCACTGTCTTCTCAGCAGCAAGAAAGCAATGTGAAATCTAGGGTATCAATGAACTCATGCTTCTAAGGCTTATATCGGTAGGTAGCTTCATGGAGGAAACCTCTTAAGATTTGGGAAAAAGTCCTAAAACTGCCAGCTATTGTTCATATAGCAAAACTAGCCCCCAAAGTCCTTTGGGTTTATAGATTTACACAGAATAATAAAATTACTCCCAAAACATGTTAAGAAATTTATGAAATTTATTATATATACAGATCTATATCTACATCTATCAATCTTTCTGTCTCCTCAACGATGTCTTTAAAACAAAAAAAACATAAAATATGAATTAAATAAACTTTGGAAAGACCAAAGATTCTGAGAGGAAACAGATGATTAGATGCTTTGAAATGAGATTCGGGAAATGATTACCTGGGGGATGGGAGGAACACAGTGGGACCTTTTGTCCCCATACTTGAGGGCCTCAGCAAACGAGGGCTAGAGATTTGTGTCACACTCATAATAAAATAATCTTTAAAATCACTGAGGAAAACCGGTTTTCTTCAGAAAACAAGAAAACAGGATTTTATCTAGAGGACACACGCCACACACACACACACACACACACACACCCTCCTACTTGTAGATTGTATTTAGACTGAATGGGCAGGTAGAACACCCTATCAGGCATTCTTCTACCCTTAGAAGTCAATTCACTTGTATTCCTTAAAGTCTTTTCTCTCTAAAGATCCCCCCGGGATAGTGTTCAGAAGCGTAAAATTGTTTAAAATGTAACAGATGATTCTTGACTAAATACTCAATACAAGATGGACCAAAAAGTGGAGAGAAAAGTGATCGGGAGGCACTTAGATGACTATCACAGCAGCCCAGCTGTGAGGTCATAAGGACTCCTTTGAGAAGAGTGGGGAGGAGAGGGCAGACACAGGTAGAGTTCATTTCCTTACTGAATATTCAGCAGCTTCCCCCAGTCTGGAGACTCTACTGAAGATTCTCCATTCACTCTATCTCCTTCTCAGCCCTCATGTATTCTCTGGGCAAAGCCTAGTTCCCTCCGGATGACCTGCGAAGCAAACAAATCTGAAATACTTAAAAGAATAAAATCAGTTTTCCCTCAATACTATTGGTGATAGTTGCTATGCTCCTCTGAAGATATTTTACAGATAAAACATTTGTTTCATATAGTCAGGTTTATATAGACTGATTCGTTTTTTGGTTTTTTTGTTTTTTGGTTTTTGTTTTCTTTTGTTTTTTTTTTGTTTGTTTGTTTGTTTGTTTGTTTGTTTTTGCAGTACCAGGAATCAAATTTAGGACCTTGTGCTTGCCAGGCAGGCGCTGTGCTGCTGAGCTAAATCCCCAGCCCCAATTGATTTGTATTTTAAAAAGTCATCTTCTCCCAGAAAACAAGAAGATAAGGGAGGAAAAGGAAAGAACTACTAGACTCTATCACCTACATGAATCCTGAATAGACATGGGTTTGCCCCTTGTACTTGCTAGCTTGAGACCATAGGGAGGTGCGTTCAAGCTTTTTTGTTCAGACTGGTTCCTGTGTGAGGCAAATGTGACCGTTCAGAAACAGAAGCTCCTCCTACACACAGGACGTCGGTTCCCTTTGAACCTGAGGACAAATGTAGAGCAGAGCTTTTGGTTCCTTCTGTAGCCTCCCTCTTACGTTCAGAATTCATGACAGTTTGCTAGAATTTGTCCTCAGAGATTGCATTGGCTTTATCTGTTGATGCACCAGATTAATTTTAATGGAGAAAGTACAGGATAAAATGTCACCTCCAATCCTAGTGTAGATTCAATGGCATTCAGAATTTAAGAAATTGGAACATGTTTGTTTGAGCCAATGATTGTAAAGAAGATCTTGCTAAGACTTTATTGGTGGACCTTAAAAATTCTTAGATTAAATTGTCATAAGACTTTTGAGTTTCCTACTGTAGGCATTTAATTTATTCATTCTTTCATTGCACACTACTGAGAAGGTCTGGCACCTTCATTCTAGTGAGCAGTTAGCCCAAAGATCTCTCCTGCTTGCTCCCAGGACGGCTTGTGCAGGCCATATGAACAATGGGTTAGAGCTGCTAAGAAACATGGCAGTTCTGAGAATGGGATTTGCTATCAGGCTGAAGTGTCAGTGGAAAACTAATTGCATGTTTGCAGTAAAGGACTGTAGTGAGAGGAAAGAAATGGAAGGGCAATGAAGGCTACCTCGGAACATTTTCAAATTATGGCTCCTATGCAACAACTAAAGAAGTGCGTTGCTATTCCTTCTACTTGTGTGACCTGGTACTTATACCATGCACTTCAAAATTTAAAATGACCTTGTCAATATTCCGCTTTTCAAAATTCAACTTTTTCTCTCCTGTCATATGCCAAAATAACTGAACTGTCTCTACGGAGTGAGGGTGGAGAAGGGGTGGGTGAATCCTCCACCTGTGGGACAAAAACATTTGAAATATACCAGAGTGCGTACCTGCTTGGGCACGTGGGGTCAAAGATCGAAAATAGTTCCTCTTAAGGACATTAAGCTCCAGCTGGCATGACTCCCTGGCGCCTTTGAGGTCCATATGCATTCCAAGTTCTAGAAATAATTTCAGTAAGTTCTGCCAGATGCCGCGTCCTGACAGGTTTTCCTCTTATTATTCCCCTTGACCGCCAACAAGAAGGTTCCCCACTGCCCTGGTTAGGGCAGTGCCTGGTGCAATCAGCAGATCAAGTGGGCAGCAGTTGGTTTTTAGGAACTGGCCCATCATGAAGGTTTCTGTTGAGATTATGTTCAGCCAAACCTGCCCAGGGCACATTGAAAAAGATTTATACCACGACACATTATTGTTCTCAGCTTCCGGTCTCTTCTCCATGGAACTTGCATGAGTTATATTTGACAAATGTGAGTTGGGGTTACTCATCATATTTGCTTTCCTTGGGGCTGAAATAATTAAGCTCCACACCATTTCTGAAGCAAGGTTGGCGACATCCGGCTTTTGTGCCATTGTTTCCCTGCTTGTGTTCATGGTGGCTACTAATCATCCACTATAAACTTACTCCAAACTTTCTCAGCTCCAAAGCTTTCTCAGCCCAACATTCCCAGAATTCTACTGGCATCAGCATGTGAAACAAAACCTATTTGCTCAGAGCTTCAGCTCAGAGCTGCCCTGGGAAGGTTATCCTATGAAAGCCATATTTAGGACAAGATTCCTTAGTTGACCCCTGGCTTGCCCTGGAGAGGAAACAAAGTCTTGGGAGTAGTTTCAAAACTAACCTGGGCTTCAGGAAATGTCACATTAGGCAATGCTGAAGGTTCTGGTCTCATCTGTCAATCACAAATATGGATTTATTTCCAGAAAAGAAAAACACCGACCTAATCTTGATTCAGCTTTTGCCATCTCATTTTAGACAGAAATAATCGAGTCCATAATTTGTTTGTTTTAGTAAAAAACATGATGCTTTTTGACTGGTCCAGCTCTTCAGTAATTAAGGGAAAACTGTTTTAGGAGGCTTCTTCTCTGAAAGGAATCGAGCTCCTGTAGAAGCAGTGATGGGGGAAGAACTGGTGATGTGTATAAAGGACTTCTACTGCGACAACATTCACTCAACACATACTCCCTGAGCGTCAGGCGCTATTCCAGGGAGAGGTCGACGGAGAAAACCTGCACTTTTGAACAGATGGAGGGTGACACATAACCAGGCGGTGCGCCGGTGTGTCACTCCCACCGTACAGTGACAAAAGTGTGTGATCCAGATGCTACCGGGTCCCCGAAAGGGCAGTGCCTGGCGCCTGGAAGCTCAGCAAACCTTCTCAGAAGGACGAAGCTGTTTAGCACACATTAGTGTCTTACCTTAGCCACTCTCAGACCACTCACGTAATCCAGCCTGCGCATAACGAACTTGATGGGTTTTAAATTTTGCAACTCAGTCCTGAAAAAGCTTGCAGCTGAAAACATCTCCCTGTCGTGCGCATTGTGATTCCGCTTTGATGCTCCACTGAACCCTTGACACCCTCCAGATCAAGGTTGTTTTTCAGTTTGGGTTTCAGGTTTTAGCGTACGCTGGACCCTCCCTTCGGTATCATATATTTGGGTCACACCATGTGCTGGTCCAAGTATGCGAGAACCACTGGTTTCGTAAATGACTGGAGCATTACTGAAAACCTGTGGGGAATAAATCAGAGCACTGTCTTAATTGGTCTTTGCCCCTGGCATGGCATGGCTTCTCGTGATTACAGAGCAATGAAGCTATTCGGGTAAGCCCTGGCAACAAACCCTGGAAAGCCTCACTAGCCACTGAGATGATCTTTTCAGAGCTGGCATATCCAGGGGAGGATCCTGACGTGGTAGTTTCTACTTTGAGCGAGGACACAGGGCCCCAGCCAAACATCCACTGTGGCAACGGGTCTAATTTCTGTGTGCAGAGTTGGCAAGCGCTCAGAGTGAAGCCAGCTACCAAGAGGGTGGAAGCTACCAAGCTTCCACCAAGCAGCCTGGGCTTCCTGGGGCCCAGGGCAACTAGTAAGTTAGTATTTTGAGGTTTTTCAGAAGGGCAGGTTTTTGAACCACTTATTTTTTTTTCTCCCAAACAATGCACAAAGTGAAGGAGCTTTCGGTGATTTCAGAACCTGGGGTAGCTCCTGTGGCCTGACCGTTTCACTGAGCAGCTTTCTTCACAGTTATCCAGCTCTGCGGGTAGATGTGACGGTCTTTACTCCACCCCTGGAAGGAGACTATTGTTTGTGCTTTGTATTCCTTAAAGGCCACCAGGTGTGCAGTCAGCAAGCAGGCGTGCTTTACAGGCTGTGCTGGGGAAGCTCGGTGGTTGGCGTCTGAAGCCCTGGATCTAAGCCCTGAATTCCGTCAAGTACTAGCTGTGTGCCTTGGGCAAGTGACTTAACTCCTCTGAAAGTCAGTTTTCTCATCTGTCGTGGTGATTTCAGCAACAGAAAATAGAAAAACGAGTTTTATTGATTTGCCTCCTATATGAAGCGGCTTCAGCAGGAATATTTTTGCTACCTTGGCAATTATTCTAAGACCCAATTCCTCATGTTTGGAAGCTTTTTCCAAAGTGTAATTGCTTTTGCCACAGGTGCGCAGTAGTTTATGACCTTTAAATTATTTAAGAGAACATTTTGGGACTAACTTTTCCTAGAGGAGTTGGTAGAAAACTATGCCATGTGACATGATCTGTCTCTCATAAGCTTGTTCAGGAGGAGGTTCTTCAGTCACTGGGCCAAACATTAAACTAGGTCCTGAGGACAATGGCGCTGCCCTCATGGACTTCAGAGTCCTGACAGGGAGTCAAGCGAACACAGAACTACCACAGAGTGTGATAAAGCTGTGGCACAGTCATCCATGGAGGCCGAGACAGGCAACCAGGTAACACGTGCCTTCTGTCGGTATTCAAACCTCCACCTCAAATTAGTCATGCAGAAGACTGAATATAGATTTGATTAAACCCCTGTCTTTTTATAGAAAATATAGGGACAGAGAAATGACTTAGTGACTCCCCAGGAATACAGTTGATAAAATTCAGGATGGTTGTAAACTCTGCAAAACACCGTATTTCAACATCATCATCATCATCATCAACAAGAGCATCACAGTACATTGGAAGAGGTGAAAAAGATTAACAGGATACCTAGAGATTAAAGGACAGTAAGAAACTTACTAGCAAATGTGTAGATTTTTACTTGGGCTTAGATTCAAATGAACTGTCAAAAAACTCCTAAAGGATACTGTAAGAAAATTTTTACAAGCAGAGATGAGACAACTGATACTAAAAATTATTTTGGTGTAAGATTATAATGATAGTAATCCTGTTATATATAAGGGGAACCCTTGTCACTCAGAAGCACACACTGAAATACGCATGGATAAAATAGTGCGAGTCTGGAGTCTACTTTAAGCTGATCCTGGGAGAGGGGGAAGGTGTTTAAGATACAGAACAAAGCTGCCTCTGAGTTAATCGTTGTTGAAGCTGGGTGTTGGGCATCTGAGGAATTACTATAGTATTCACTCCATTTTTGTATATGAAAATTTTCAAACTAAAAATCTTTGAAAAACATGACCATCTACATGAAAGATGGCTGAAATATCCAGTAACTTCCTGAAAGCAAGATTGGTTTTGGTTACAGGCAAAGCTGCTGTGCATCAGCCCGGCTGGTAGTTACATAGAGGATAAGGTGCATGGTGCCTTTAGTGTAGAAAGCGAAGGTGCTGGCCCTGCCTGGCCAGGCCAGTTCCAGTGCAGGGTCTGGAGAAGGAACCAGACTACACTGGGTACACGGTGAGCACTGGTGAGGAAGTGGAAACTATGCACGTAGGTGGCTCTCTAAGAAGAAAGAAAGTGAGTATTGACCTCACGGCTCTCCACAAGGACACAGGTTTTGCAATCTTAACCTTACCACCAACGCTTTTGCTAGACTCCCTCCAGAACTAAGCAATCACACGGCTTGATCAGGCCTGAGGCAATACATTGCAAGAGTAATTAAAGGATTATCCTTCTCCACATGTAATCCAACACACTGTAATCCCAGCATTTGGGAGGCTAAGACAGGAAGATCGTAACTCAAGGCCAGTCTGGGCTGTATAACGAAATCTTATTTCAAGAAACCCTAACAAACAATAAACAAATCACTGTGTGTCCTCAGTGCTTTCTCTAACTGAAGAATGTCTTTCTCCACATGAATGTGGTTTTTCTCTCCGTACATTTTATTGCTCTGTGCCCACTCTTGTTCCTGTGAGGGCGAGAAATGGCACAGCCTCCACGTGACAAGAAGAAAGGAGGTGACTGAGCATTGAGAAGGACACAAAATTTAAAGCTTTTTGATTTTTTTATTTCTGGAATTTTCCATTTTATGTTTTCAGACAACGGTAAACTATGAGTAATTTGAAACTGGGAAAATGAAACTGCGGATAGAGGGGTTATCTCCTGCACTGGGAAAGGAACTGCGGATAGAGGGGCTATCTCCTGCACTGGGAAAGGAACTGCGGATAGAGGGGCTATCTCCTGCACTGGGAAAGGTGCTTGCAATGTATACGGCAAAAGACTTCATAGGAGTACAGAAATGAACCACTGGAAATTAATACAAAAGAAAATACACATTCAAATAGAAACACAGGTAAAGGATGTCTTTTACTTCTTCTTGAGCTATTTTACAATGCTTATCAGTGTAGTGCTGTGGTAGGGCATAATGAGGTAATGGACCGTCCTATTTTCCCCGGTCTAAGTAGAAATAAAAGTTGTGGCTATACAAGCACAGGAAGAATTTCATCTTCACTTAAAAAGGGAAAAGAAGGGAAAATGGAAGGACGGGAGGGAGGTTTGAGTGAAGAAAAGAAGGAAGGGGAAAGGGAGGGGGAGAGAGGCAATAAAAAGATTTTTAAAAAGAAAGAAGAGGAGGGAGAGAGACAGAAAAAGAAAAGAAACATTTGTTCTTGTAGGATCTCCTCTGAACATTAGAAGGTCTTGCCTTAATAATAGACTCTCTAACATGGCCTCCGAGACCCTATCTTCAGAGGAGAAAAGGTTATCTTGCTTGTAGAGAGACTTCTAGCTTTTTAAAGGTAAATAAATAAAAGAAATAAGTGCCTTAGAGAATGCCTGACATAGGTAAGAATCTTCAGTAATGTCCTACGTCAGACTGAGTCGCTTCACCAGGTTTGAAAACTCTGGACTCCTTCAGTACTCCTCTACTCAGGCGTTCACGGCTCTTTGTAAATGAGGAAACTGGATTTATGAGGCTTCGAGGAATCCAAGCAGACTTCATTATTTTTCAGGTGCCTCCGTCTCAAACCCAGAAAGGCAGCCTTTCTAAGACGGTCCCCAAGGTTCCTGCTCACAGAGTACTCTGTATGACCACCTCATTCCCCACGCGCGAGGGGTGATGAGTAGGAAGAGATTTCACTCCTGTAATTAGGCTGCATGAGGAGGGCACAGGCAGGGATTACACGGATGTAAGTAGTGCCCCTGGGGAGTTGACTCTGAGTGAGTTAGTCAAAAGGGAGATTGCCCTGGGTGGGCCCGAGTTATCTGCTCACAATGAGCTGTTTTTAGGGCTGGGGATGTAGCTCAGCGGCCCGGCGCCTGCCTGGCAAGTGCGAGGTCTTGAGTTCAACTCATGGTACCAAAAAAAAAAAAAAATACTGAGATAAAATGAGCTCTTTTTAGGAGGGCTCTGGCCTTTCCACTGGAGACCCGGAGCAGCACCTTGGGTTGCAGGAGTACTGTGCTCTGTTAGGGAGAGGGCACGGGCAGGAGACAGCAGGCGGCCTCTCAGGACTTGTGGCCTCAAACCCTAACGATAATAAATATGCGTTGTTTGAGGCTGCTAAATTGGTGGTGACTAGCTATGCAGGAAGAAAAGCTAATACACAGGCACTGCAGTCCTCACCTCTTCCTTTCCACTGAGGAAACATGACATGACCGTGCCACCTTCTCTTCTGTAGGGAAGGGTGCTCGCAATGTATACGGAAGGCAGACGCCTGTAGTAAACACTGGCCTGCCTCGTGTGCATGTGCAGTTCTGTCCCCGTGAACACATGACTTAAGAGAACTTGTGACACTCACCACCCCTTCCACCACTTCTGCACACACTGGGACCCTCTGACAGTGCTTTCTAGCATTCCTTCTGTCCCCAGCTCAGGATGTGCTGAAGCCTTTGACTCCACCTACAGAATAGTCGCTAAATCACATGGAGCTTTTCCAGTTATGATTGCAAGGAGGTCCACGGGGTGGCTGGTCGGCGGTAGCTGGTGAGGGTCTTCTCCTGTTGCCATATACTGGGCTGAGGTCCATTCTTAGACCTTACCTTTCCAGTTCCAAGTGGCCACCAAGTCTTCCACATCAGCGTTTACAGAAGCAGGCCAGGGGTTCCTTCTTCAGATTCTCAAACACAAAATGCCTGATGTTCATTTTCCTGACTGTAAGAAGACAACGTTGGAAGTAGGGAGGGGAATGGGACTGGTGAAATTATTCACACTTCAAAGATATTTACTGA